ACTTATTTTGAGGATTAGGGCACATGAATAAAAAAAATGATGTGAGATAAATAGTTTATATGAAATAGTTCAATATTCCATAAAAGTTTTAGATTTCATGGTGACTTCAAGACTGAAGTCCCTGCTTTGGATCCTGTGAACGCTGGATGTTGTGAAGCATACGGTACACTTTATCAAATGCAGCCAGCAGGGATCCATTGCTGTTCCTTTCAGCCCTTTTTCCCCTCATGATCTTGACCTTGATGACTGGAGTCTGATTTGAGCTGAGAAAAATATTCAGATCTATTTGTTATTCTCTTTGTGGTTTGTATGTCTGATTTACCTCTGTAATCAAATCCAACGCAATTATTTTTTCACTATGTACTGTCTAAGACAAGCTGCAAAACCATATTTTAGTATATTATTTATTATTTTATCTTTATCAAGAATTTATCACAGTTTTGCTCTCTGAAACTCCACAAAAATAATGAGTATGCTCTGAGCCATTGATGCCAGAGAGAGACATATTTCCCTACTTAAAGTCCAGATGCTAACCATGACAACTAGGTTTGAATGTTGTTGTTTTTTTCTTTTTTTTTTACAAAATCTCATTTGTGTTTGTGCAAAACTCTCTAGCTGTGTCCCAATTTGCATACAAAAAGCACTTCAAATCCCAGATGATACACTTAATTAACCGCAAAAAAATGTTGGACGCTTCAAACACTCAACTGTTGCAGCTTACTTTACTGAGCGGAAGGGACTCAATGCTGGATGACAAAATAACCTTCTAAAATTCATACACTTGACAGAATTCAAATAAGTATGTAGTGTATAGTAGGTCATTTGGGACACAACTTCTTTTGCTATTTTGAAGCTGAACGGTTCTGAGAGGTTTTTCGTCAATTGCTATGAAGTTAATAGAACATTGCTAGGTGGTGGCTTAATGGCCCACTCCAAATCTCTATAATATTCTGTTCTCTAGAGAGCTCTGGTTGCTCTTTCATTGTTAGGTGCCATTCACCAGAACAAGTTTTTATGGTTAAAACGTGAGATGTTGACTACAGGTCTAGAGCTTCTTTTAACTCAAGCGCTGCATGTTTTAGAACACAGTTTCATGCATGAGACACTGCAAAAGACATGAACGCAATGGTCAAACACATCCATCATAAAAGAACACTGGAGAAGTGTTAAGTGTGAAGGGGTGGTCAGTTCAAGTTAGGTGACTCTGTGAATTTGTATCACATGAAGACATGACCAATAAATGTTTAATAGGTCATGGCGTGACCTTTTAGCTAAATTAACTCCAATTGGAATTCACATGAGGGCATCATGCAGATTATGTTTATGCTCAAGATGGTTATGTAAATTTGCTGCGTTGACTAACAGAAAACTGCTTGATTTGATAGTGACTTTGCAGTACATCTTTATGACATTGACATTGGACCATTTTTTCATGTGAAGTATGGCTGCAGGTTTGCAGGGTTTACATTTTTTATTTGTTTCTAATTGGAATTGATTGTTGCATATAATTTATGTTTTTAAATAGGCTCCACATAGTGTGACGTTATATCTCATGTATCACTTATCTTCTGTAGCACTAACACTAAGATAACTTACACGCCGACGATAAATGCTTATGTTTATGGGTTTGTTCAAACCCGAGCAATAAACATAATAATACTTGCTTTTTGCACAATACACACACGGCATGGGAAGTTCTACCCTGATCGACTGTGCTGAAGTTTCTGGTACCGTGCATGCGTAAAAATAGACATATTCACTTTGCACCGCTCATTTAGATCCTGAACTGGCAGAGACCTCATGCATTAGTCATCCTTTCACAGGATTCAAGACTGTGATTTATTATTATTATTATTAAATCAGATTTCAGGAAAACCTCAAAGGGTTTAGTTAGTTGACCAGTTGCTTTTCAGTAAAACAAAAGCGATGAGATGATGTTTTTTTTGTGTGTCTTTTCTTCCATTGACGCACAAGATTTGCCTTAAGCTGTTTAACATGGTTACCCAACATGAAAACTCCATGTTTACCTACAGAAATGACACCATGGCCCGGGATATTATAGATCCATCATCATGTCACACATCTCATGTGCTTGGCAGTAATCCATATCCTCCTGCCTTTGTTTTAGAGAGCTGAAAATGATTCTCGCTCGGCCTATTGATCCGACGGCACATGAGTGATTGCAGTCACGTGCCCCCTGCTTTAATGCGGTGTGATTAGCACAGGCTGTTGATCAGTCATGTGGAGCAGTTTCTGCTCAGATAACGGTCCTGCTGTGAGCCCTAGATCCATATGAACTGACCAGCTGTTCTGTGAGCAGCTTATGAATTAATGACACTTTTGATGCCAAAGAGGGAGGATTGTATTCGCTCCTCCCCCATGTGTTGACCATTTTAACAAGATCATAATATGCATGCACTGATAATTACACAACCAAATGTGAAAAGGACTTCAATTTCTTGTCTATAGGATCCTAAAAGCTAGGACTAGTTTCCACTTTCCAAGAGTGTCTTGTACTCCAGTGGAAGCAAGAACATCTCATCCTTTGCGGATGTCACGTGATCAATATATCAATATGTGTGTGTGTGTGTGTGTGTTTAAAATGTTTTTTGAAAGAAGTCTCTTCTTACCTTCTAAGGCTGCTTTTTTGATGAATGATTTTGATGAAAAATACAGTTAAAACAATATTGTGAAATATTAAAAAATTTTTTTCTTTTTTATGTATTTTCCAATGTAATATATTCTTGTGATGGCAAAGCTGTTTTTTTTTTCCAACAGTTTTGATCCCTTGGGATCCTTCTGAAATTATTAAATATGCTGATTTTAGTGCTTAAAGGGGTCATGAACTGGCTTTTTAAATGTTTTCTGAGGTCAACTTATGACGTTCGCTTGGTTTTTGCATTCAAAAACACTGAAACAAGAGATATTCAGTACCATCATGTACTATTTGTCATGCTGCATGCATTAGTCTTTTAAGTAAACCAGCAGACAGGGCTTAACTGTACGTCTTCATTGTTCAGTGCCAAACTGGTGGATTTGGTCTAATGCCAGTGGTGGTCACTGTGGAAATATAGATGCAAAGTCTTACCCACACATCACAACCGTTGGCATGGTCACAAAATAGGGAGAAACTGAATTGCCGTCATGGTTGCAGCAGATGGTGGTAGAAGTTGAACTGCCTTTATAAGCAGATTTAGCAGTATGGCATGAGGTCTTTGTTCTCCTTCAAGGAATGCGTTTCATTATGGAGAATACTGGAGCTGATTTGTAATTGGTGAATCAGCTTTTAACTGCTGCTTCTCATTTCCTTGCTCCCTGCATGAGACTTGATGTTTTTGTAGTTCAATTAATATGCTGCAGTGTTTCTGACTGCTTAACGGGATTTTTCACCAAGTGGGAAGTTTTCCAATTCGACATCCTTGTTGGACTTGGAAAGAAATTCCCAGCAACCAATCACATTTCAGTGTTTGGATTAGACTCCAACAAGATTTTTATCAACCCATTATTTCATTCCATTTGCTATTACACACAAAAATCGATAGCCTTTTCTTGATCTGGCAAGCTCATATGATTTGGCAACATCAGGCTTTATTTATGCATTTGTTTGTTTTTTTATACAGTCCACCGTAGTATATCGTAAAAGTTTTGTTTACAACATACAGTTCTTAGTTAATACAGTGAACACTTCTGATGATTATTGTTGGATTTGCCATTGTAGGTGACATCAAATTTATGAGATTTATTTTTATTAATTTTTTATTAATTTCAAATTTATTAAGATATTCAGTGAAAAATTGAAATAGTGTATTTAAATTAGGCCATTGTAAATGGCTTATTCACAAAAGTCAGCACTATTACCTGCCTCTGTTAAAGGGATACTCCACTTTTTTTGGAAATAGGCTTATTTTACAACTCCCCCAGAGTTAAACGGTTGAGTTTTACCGTTTTCGAATCCGTTCAGCCGATTTTCTGACATTTAGAGGACTATCAGTAACCAGACAGTTTCAGGTCTCATTGACTTCCATAGTAGGAAAAAATATATGCTATGGTAGTCAATGAGACCAGAAAATGTCTGGTTACTGATATTCTTCTAAATATCAGAAAATTGGCTGAATGGATTCGAAAACGGTAAAACTGTTTAGCTCTGAGGGAGTTGTAAAATGAGCCTATTTCCAAAAAAAGTGGAGTATCCCTTTAACATTGCACTATTACTGTCCCCAGAACATGGTTATAAGTGTAAGCTCACAGATTTTCAACCCGTTTTGTATTGTTACAATATCGGTAGTATATGTAAATAATAAACAGTTTATACTTTATCTACCTGGGGGGAGAAATTCCTGACAGCTTTTGACAGCTCCAGGGCTTTCGTTTAAACTACAGATTGTACTTTTGCAATTGTGTATCCCCGCCCACTAACAGACGGATAAACAGAGAGTTATTAACAGAAAAGTTCATCAATGAAAATTGCATCAAACTTTGTCTACTCGATTAAAACCGCATTATGGTAAAAAATACTATGCAAAAGCCTCTTTCTTCAGGGGACTGAGCAGACGGTGCTCCACGTTCCTTTTCTTTCTAATTAACTGATGGAACGCTTCAAATCAAGCAGCTTTACCCATAAAGTTACACATGGAAAACAGTGTCAGTGTTTTGTTTCATCAGAAGTTCAACTTCATTTTCTACTTTTCTAAGCAAATCTCCAGTGTGTTCATTTATGTTTTAACTCACGGATGTCTGACCGCGACTGACTGAACAGGCCTAATAAATCAGAAAAGATTCTAATAGCTGGAGCAAACATCAAACTTCGTTTCGGCCTGATTTTGTTTGAAATCAGTTTGTTCATCAATTTCGATTGAAGTGTATCGGGGGCTTTATGCCTCTAACGACAATACAAGAGATATTTGTGTGCATTTTCTGTTCCTCATAACAGTAGGAATTCATAAAATGATGATTAAATGTTTGGATTATTTACTTCTTATTTCTTTTTTCCTCTGTGTCAGATTTGGATTAGTGGTTCTTTCCATCATGCCGGTGCTGGTGGACAGGCTTCAGAGAGTGTGAGCTCCACGGAACTGCGGGGATGAACATGCCATTGCACCAAATCTCTGTCATCCCTCGTGATGTCACTTCCTCCCGGGTGTCCAGCAGCGGGAAGGGAAAGGAAAAGGACAAACAGGTTTGTCTTCCAACTGATAGACATAGAAAAACAGGCGGCACTATAATCTGTGACCCTTAAACTCTCATCCTCGTTGCGGCTGAAAGACAGTATCCTGTTTTCACAGTTCGGAACATTTAGTTTGTCCGCCCAGAACTCGACATGGAAAAGAATGGCATTTAGAGACAAACCTTGTACGCACACATATTCCTCTGTCTGGGCCGTAAATGCTTGTTCGTTCCTCAGTCGTTCTGTGAACTCAACTTCAACTACTGTTTAAATTGTGCTTTCGTGGAACAGCCCAAATTTTGCAAATTACTGACACAGATGATAATAAGGGAAGTTGGCGAAGTAGAGGAAGTGGCACATACACAAGAGTGGGTTTCCAGTAAGAAATGCAGATAGGAATTGTATGTGCTGTTAGTGAGGAGAACTATAAAACAAAGTGTGTTTGATATCATGGTTCCTGCTGGCTTTGTGTTGACTGCTAAAGAGGTCATTTTTTCATTTTTTAGGATTTGTTTCATGTTAGGCAAAGGTTTCTGCACCAAACAAGTCATAATTTAGTTCAAATTAGCATTTTATGCTTCTCTTAAACTTATAAATTACTTGGGATGATATTTTTTTTGCATTTACTTAACATGAGGTCCCAAGTGACTCAAGTGAATGAATCATCATTACCAGTGTTCATTATTTCATTACTATTCTTTGTTATCTTTAATTTCGGGATTACTGATAAGTAATTATGGCAGATAACCAATAAATGGCCAAAATCAAATTTATATATGATTCTTTCAAAATAAATACAAAAAAAAAAAAAAAAATTCTACAAATGAATTTACGCATCACAGCATAATAATGTACAGTATTAAAAAATGGATATTCATTTTAAGATTTGCGAAAGATTGTATTTAGCAGTGTTTTTAATTTATAAGAGTTTCTATTTTGTAATCATCTCACTCTTATCATTTAGGCAGTATTTATTTGGCATTCTTGCAGTATAAACAGTAATATTGTGAAATAACAGTTTTATCCCTGTTTTATTTAATAACTAATTTTATTCCTTTGACGGCAAAGCTGAATCTTCAGCACCATTACTCTTGTAACTATTGTAACATTATAAATGCATTTGCCTTCTTTACTTTTTTTAAACATTATACATTATCATAAATGATTGTGGAGTATATGGAACTCGTATATCTCCTTTAACGAGATATATTTTCTTTATAAAACGAATATTTCGGAATGGATATGATGGCTTCATGCCAGTGAGAGACTTTTGGAATCATTGGATCGATTCTGTGTCAAATGTGGGGAAGCTGATCTCAGCAGTATAATGAGAGGTAAACTGGTCGATAAACTGAAGCCTGGACTAGTGTGATGTTGTGGAGCCATGTGGCTCATGACATTAACGTATCCGAAAGATATTTTGGCACTAAGATTTTATCTGAGAACTGAAGACTTATCTTACTGAGAAGTCTGAGTCATAAACACTTGGACCCAAAGGAATCTTAATATTTACCCTCATCATTTTTCAGCTTGTGCAGCAGCTCTTTAGCAGTGCTCTCTCGCCCTCAGAGCAAGGCTGGACGCCGGTGACACTAATGAGTGTTGTTTCATTGGTGGACCATCAGCTGTTTGTTTGTCAGAGCCAGGCAGGAAACAGGAGACAGGCTGTTTTTATTCTTATTCTTTTCTTTGGCTAAATGGCCTCAAGTGACTAAGGTAGCAGGAAGTCTGTTGCATTCGAAATGCCATGTCAATCATCATTCCCAGTCTATACTTTTTAAGAATAACTTCAGCAAAGGGGTCTGTATGTGTAAATTTATAGCGTTTGGCAGTTGAGTCTGACCTAGAGGCATTTTGATTATTTTTGTAATAGAGTTGCAGTCCTGTGTACTCTGTCCAGGTGTGGGGTGTTGCTGGTGGTGGGGGGTCTGTCAGTTTGGTTTGTTGCCGTTTCATTCTGGGTGGCAAAATGCCACCCAGATATATATATATATATATATATATATATGTATATATATATATATATATATATATATGTATGTATATATATATAAAATATTATTATGGATTTCTTTCATGGTTTCTTTTATAATGGATCTGTAGACTAAAGAAAAGATGCAACAACAGGCATTTAGGCAGATGTTGTAGTGTATGAGTGAATATCATGAAGAACATGTCCAGGTCAAATCATTTGTAATAAATATTATTTGTAATATTTATAATTATATATAATACACACACACACACACGCACACACACACACACACACACACACACACACACACATATATATATACTATTATTGTATTTATTAATAAGAATTAGCTTTTTTATATTTTCAGGTTTCATTTTAGTTTTAGTCGTTTTGTTGTGCTTTTTACATTTTTATTAGTTTTGTTATAAATTAATTAATTAATTTATTTTTAATTAGATTTAATTTATTTTTATGTCAATTTTTGTACTTTTAGTAGAATTTAAAAAAAATAGTTAAAGTTTTAGTTAACAATAACACACACAAACACACACACATATACACATTACAACAAATAATGCCATTATAGATCATTACCTTACAATATATATATATATATATATATACATATTGGGGTAGAAATGTTCTTCATGAAAATAATGTCACCATGCAAAACCGGTTTCATTTTCTTTATGCAAAATGTACTTTCCATTTAAAATGTACTTTCTTATTTCTTTATTTTGATTTTGAGCTGAAATATGACGTTCCCGACGACAGGCTTTGTGAGACTCGCCCTATATCAGTCCTGACACTCAGTGTAGTTTATGAGGCTCTTTTGATTGATGCTGATTGGTCAGATGCAGAGAGACGGGTGATGGGCCATTAAAATTATTCACCAAGACATGCTAATCAAACCCCACATGAATTTAATGACCATAATCTTTCAAAGCTCCATCAGTGGATTATGCTGCGTTTAGTATGACCCTTTTATGCACAAACACGAAATGTTTTTCAGCAGGTTTGAGGAGATTTTTCGTACACTTTGTTGCCTAATATAAATGATTATGTTTCCCTTCTTTCATTAATAATTTCCTAGAATTGAGCTTCACACTAAATCTCTTGGAGTCTGGACAATTCTTTGCTCTTAACACCTAGAGTTTGTCTTTCACACAGACTGAAGAGTTGGCACCAGCCACAGTATGGTTTACCTCTCGCTCAGAATACAGATCAGCTGGGAGGAGTATCGCCATTAGGAAAAGAAAGCACAGCCCATCTGCCTGTTGCAGACAACTCCTCCTCTGTGTGTCAGTGGAAAGAAACCCTCATTCCCTCTGCTTTAGATTCAGCGCCAGCTGCCATTGCGGATGCAGTGCTGTTGAATGATCCGAAATGAACAAATGTCAGAAATATCAGGTACATAAACTGTTATTTCTTTGTTTTGTTTTGCTGGTACAATCTGTTCAACCTCACATCGATGTCATGTTGGTCCTTTGAATAAAATCGTGTCTAAGGCAGTCACTGACTGGTAAAATCTACCACCATCTTTCTTAAATGGATGTCAGGAGGCATTAGTGTATCTCAATGCCTGAAATACACCATCACCAGGCAGGCACAGATGGAATCTGCAGGCTTGGGTCCTCGTTTTTTGCCACTTTTATCGAGAGGGAGCCCGACACAAACTTTGATTACCCACACTTAAAAGCAAATAGTTCACCCTCATTTTTTTTTTCTTCATAATTTACTCACCCTCATAGTCATAGCATTCCAAACCTGTATGACTTTCTTCTACAGAAGACAAAAGAAGATATTTTGAAGAACTGTTTTTGGAGTTAATGGAGACCCCATTGATTTATATTGTATGTAAAAAGAATTATCTTAGTATCTCTATTTGTATTCAACAGAGAAAGATAGTCATACAGGTTTGTAATAATATGAGGGTAAATAATTACTTTTTAACATTTTGGACTAGATATTTTGTTTACCGCCACGTCATGTCTAAGCATGTGCTGCGTTTATTTGATTAAAAATACAGTAAAATCAGTAATATTGTGAAGTTTTATCAACATTTTTAAATTAGTAATTTTTCAAATTAGTAATCTGTCACATCCTTTAGAAATCATTCTAATATGGTAAATTGCTGCTCAATAAACATTTCTTATTATCACATTTTAAAACTTAATATTTTTGTGGAAACTGTTTTTTACCGAAACAACTTTTTTTTTTCTTCATGATTTTTTAATGAATAGAAAGTAAAAAAAAAACAAAAAAACAGTTTTTATTTGAAAGAGAAATCTTGTGTGGCATTATAAATGTCTTTACTGTCACTTTTCATCAGTTAAAAGCATCCTTGCTAAATAAAAGCATTAATTATTTTATGTAATTACCACCACAAACTTTTGAACTGCAGAGTACACTTATAGAAATGTTTTTATGAACGTCGTGTACCATGGTAATACCATAGTATTTTTTGAATCACCTCAGAGTCTAATATAAATACCATCATATGTGAAAATGATTCAGTTGTATAGCTTATATTAAAGTATGACATTACCATCGCACACAATCACTGTGTCATGCAGGAAAGGAATGTGAAAATCGCACTGAAAGCATGGAACTGTTTTGAGGTTTACATTTACTCATTTAGCTGACGCTTTTATCCAAAGCGACTTACAATCGCTTTATATGTCAGAGGTTGCACGCCTCTGGAGCAACTAGGGGTTAAGTGTCTTGCTCAGGGACACATTGGTGTCTCACAGTGGATTCGAACCTGGGTCTCTCACACCAAAGGCATGTGTCTTATCCACTGCGCCATAGGTTTGTGATCAAACACTAACCTCTGGACACAACAACTTTTTGGCAGCTGTGTGCTACACAGCATGACACTTTCATGAGCAGCTGCTGTGCACAGTATCTCTCAAATAATGCTGGGAGAATGAGCCTTGTGCGCACTGACAGACGTGAACAGAAGGAGACTGCCAATTTGGCATTAATGCAAACAACTGTATTAATCTGTGAAAAAATGCAAATTTGCCTGTTTTGT